TATTATGGTCGTACAGCGTTCATTGCTCCGGCTGCGCGGATTGTGAAATTTTTGTTTTTTCGCCGAGACTGTATTTTTCAAATGTCCCTAATGGCTCAATATTGTTGCGGTGATTGTGCACCAAATTAACCTATGGAATTAAGAACGTCGAGGTAGACACGAAAACCGTATATTATAATAATATATTACACGCACACCGACACCGAATGCTCTAGAAACATCGTTACTTACTGCACGCACGTCAATTTCATTTATCATGCGGTAAGACTACATGTATAGTAGTACCGATATACACTTATACAGACAAGTAAACTGATATTTTTATCTAAACAGGGCCCGGTCTCCACTGAATGAAAAACTAATCACAAGCAAATATACCCGGTAAAAGTGTATAATATAACAACACCAACTATAGATGCATAATTTCATGTTACTTATATTACATATTTATTGTATGTAAATAACTTCAAATGTCTTATATACTCATCCACAGTAGATACCAGATGAAATATGATGAATGGAGCTAGAACTATAATATTATAGTATGATATGCATTGCGATATGTGTTTGATTTATTATTAAAAATGCGACTCCATAAAAGTTAATCAAAAATGATTTTTGTTACTCCTGAAATATTGGTGATCTATCTTAAAATATTTGGGATTACTACGCTAAGAATGTTTTGAAAAGCTGTTAAATAAAAAAAGTGCCCACCGTTAGTATTCTTAGCTATCTTGATGAATACCTAACTAAAAATATGTTTATATTGAAATATTAATATTCTATTTTCGTACCTTATCATTTTTAAATATATTTTTTACCAAAAGTTTTAGATTTTTTTCGAAAAACAGACTTCTCCTAAATATGAAAAATTAGCTGCAAAAAACATATTTCAACATTTTTTTGGCACCGACAAAACGGCATCATCACAGTAGCACTTATTTGAATGGCCAATAATATGTTCTAAAAGGTTTCACCCTAATAATACGCTTACCTAGGTTATTTTAATATATTTAAGATGAACTAATGTTGTGCTATTTCTGTATCAGGTGTTATTTTTACAGAGCCAATACTAAGACGCATGTATAATTTGTTAATAGTTATTTGATTTAAGACATAGGTATTTTAAGACATTCACGTTATTGAGAAGTATACATTTTAAGAAGTGTATTTTATGTAAGTACACTCGAAGACAAATCAGTCTTAAAGATATATTGACCCAAGTATATCCGACTATAATAGGTATATATTTCTTATGGACAACACGCCGACTTTGGCATTATATTCAACAACAAGTAGACTATAATACTCGAAATACTGCAGTCTGCAATCATCGTAAACTACGTAGGTGCATTAATGCATCCGAGTAAAATATTATGAGACTTATTGAAAAAATATCGAATTCACTGAACACAATAATCATGATTGTATAGCAGACCTAAGATAAATAGAGGCTAACCCTAGACCCTAGTTCAATTGAGAATCTATGGACAATGATATAATTTTAAATAAAAACCGAAATGATGACGTATTGTTGACCGGAAGCGGTGAAGCGAGGTAAACGTGTACGACCGTGATGTGTGACGATCGCTACAACATAAAAAATCTTTACAATCTACTCCGGACGTTATAACCAAGCGGATATTTCCTTGTTTCCTAGTTTCCGACTTTACAAAATAGGTAGGTATATAAAATACTTGGCCTCAGCCTAGATACTGAAAATAAGTAATAACTAATGACAATGTAAATACCTTTTGTCACAAAATTATACAATATTATTACAACATTCGGTACTTTTTGATTGAATCTGTAGTTTATTTTGTTGTTGTTTTTCTTATTTGGTCTTTCTTAAAAAACAATTAAACCACATAATATTGATGATACAATATTAAGTCCATGTTATCATATTAAATAGGGTTAAAGTATAAAATATAAAATATGTATTATAAAAGATCCGAATATATAGGTAAATATTGGATTGTTCGACAAATAATTAGGTGTTCTAGGTATGTTTTTTTTTCACAATAGAAAATATTTCGATGATACTACGTAGCTATAATTCAAACTTGAAATTTACGACATTCAAATTAATTGTCATATTTGTTATGCCTACCTACTCAATTTTAAAATATGACGTAAGACATAATCGGAACAATCAGTGTCTAGTAATTAACGTTTTAAAAATACAAATCATTGATGGTATATTTTTTCCACTAAACCTACTTTCGTTTTGTTTGCTTAATAAACAAATAAAAAAAACCAACAAAAATCGTATCAATTAGGTCGGGTTGACTATACGCTCAATTTCGTGGCCGTTGTCGTTTTCCTTGAAATAAAGCTTTAATATGTAAACATACGTAATAGAATACATAAGTATTAAGTAGGTACAGAATTTAATTCACCAATACCGTTTTTAAACTTGGATAAATATGTAAGTACTTAAAAGGGTTCCAGAGTCATCATTATTGATAATATTATATATTTATTATTCAAGCTCTGAGTTTGTTCATGACCCATTCATCATATTATACATATTACATATACGAAAGAAAACTAAAACGGTCGATAATTGTTTAACACTTTTACAATATTTTTATTTCATACAAAACATAGTTATCAAAACATTTATGCCACACAAATTTCACCATTTTTGTTGAACATTATCAAACTGTAAATAACCTTATATAATATATATATATATATATCATAGACAATATTTTAAAATGAATTCAACATGTCAAATGGTGAAATCAAAACACATAAATCAATTGATCCTTCAATCCGTTACGCAATTCGTTGGGTACAGTGTTGGTCATGTTTAAAAAAAATATATTATAGATGTCAAAAATCCATAATAAGAACATGCAATGTATACTCATTAAAAATCTTCTAAGCTGAGCAACTGATAATTGACCATATTCAAAACAAATACAAAAGTAAATATACCTTATCATTTTTTCTTGTATAAATATTATAATATGTATTTTATATTTATATTTAGTATAAACTCCGAATATTTAGTACGATTTATAATACGAAAGGAAACACATAGGTATAGGTAATCTTATATATTGTATATTAAAGTCGTGACCATTTTCGGCAGTGAATGATGAGTAGAAAAATGTTCATGACAAAACAAAAGCACGGAGTCCTTACACCGACATGGCCAGATCACGACTTATTTGATGGTGGATGATGGGTGGTGGTTGAAACAAAGCGTAATTCTAAGATTCTATAAGCATACGTCGATCGGACAGTGAATTGTAAATGCAAAGGGTTAGATGATAAATCAACAATGCACAAGCTTTAATATAGGTACCAGACATTTTTTTTATACTATTATGGTACGGGTACCTCAGTATCCAACCAATTTTTCTTATACTTAAAAACACTGGAAAAAAATATTGATGACATTTTACTAAACAATTAAATGACATTATTGTGGGCACCACGCAGGTACAGGTCAACGATAATTTTTTCATGTGTCCTTCATATATTACTTATCTATCTGTCTTTCATAAGACACATTATGAATTATAGTACATTATTCACTACGCATAGTAGACTGGCTACCTAAAGCTATAATATAGGTAGTATCTATTAGTGTATTATTATTGTTTTTCTTACTCCTGTTTAAAGTCTACCTCGAATGGCATAACTTATGAAATCAGAGACTAACAATTTACACAAGATAAGCAAAAACAAAAAAACGACCTCCGATGCGTCAAACATCAGTAGCTATTGATCCCGTAGAGTTCCACAAAACAATAGAATCATTTAAACAATGCTATATTGTTGAATTAAATAGAGGTGGATAATTTATAAACTTGTAACATATTAGTTACTGTGATTCAATTGATAAGGTCCCATACCTATATATTTACAATCTTAAGTACGCTTAGTATACTTTTTTATATAGTTAAAAAAAAGTGTTATATAATGTGAATTATAATTTATAATAATAATTATTATTATTATTATAATTTACAACAATCTATAATTAATCCGCGTAAAACCAATAATAACATTTAATATTTTTGTCAACATTTGATATGTTTTAGTATTATTGGCTTTCATATTTATAAGCTTTTGATCTTAATTACTTACTCCGTAATAAGTGGTTAACGAATAACGGTTAGAGAATATTCACTACTTAACTATTTAAATATATGATATTACAATTCATAATATTGCACATATTTTATTACTTAGGTAATACAAAAATGAATTAATATGAATTGGAATTCTGTAGACTAATCAATAACATAAATGTATTTATTAATAGGAATTAGTAATGCAACGTATTGGCTTATTTAAGTTTTTTTTTGCCAAGTACATAATTATAAATAGCCATGCGCATAGGTTAGAAAGTACTGCAAAACTATAGGGACAAAATTATAAATTCTCACTGACAAAAATGTATAAAAATATAAAATTATATTACTATTTTATGTTCATAAGCAAGTGTTGTATTTAATGTATATAATCACAATAATCCTTTGCATTAAAAAATAACTATTAATACTTTCAATGAAAATTTAGACCATTAATTTTTATTTATTTGATGTTAAACCATTAAATTCAAAAGTTACAAAGATTCTTTATTGAGTAGAACTATTTGGTTTAACAATGATTTTACGTGCTTATTTCCATTATATTTACTCGGAAAACGATAGCAAAAATCCAAAATTAATCTTCTGCGAGCTTGACTGAGAATCGTTTGTCGAAATCTGCATTTGATGTTCAAATTTTAATCATTAATATACCTACAACAGTATTACTTTGAAGTGAAGTATAAGAGTGGGAGCAGTAGCTATTACTTATTATAGGATTATAAATTTATAACATGTTTTTTAATATAATTTAGTTTAACTAATTATTTTGAATCACTTTAAAAGTTTTTCTAAGGGGCAATTAATTGATTTTAATTATATCTTAAGTGGACTTATTCATAGCTTATTTTCAACTACATATTGATTTAATTTCTTAAAATAACTTACTAGTTTGTATGTAGCATTAAGTTTGAAATGTCGAGCTCTTAAAAACCGCAGTAGAAACTTTTCGTCCATCCTGTGTGGTGTAACATCCCCTTTCTCTGAATAAAGGAAAAAAATAACATTAAGATTTCAGTCAGAATTTTACTAAGGTAAACATCAATTAACTTGAACTCTGTATAATTTATTATGATTATGAATAATTAAAGATCACAATAATTTTTTTTTTTAAATATTTTTCTTCAAATATTTTAATTGTTAAATATATATGAAAATTAAATCGAATATAAATCATTTTCTTCCTACATTTATACATTTATAAGTTTGAATTTTCCTCGTATCTTGAATACATCATTATTAGATTCGACATACCTTCACAATAATTACTGATTAATGGTTATTTTTTTAATTCTTATTATCAATTAAAATAGTAATATATATTATATAATATTTAATAAAGTTGATTTCAGGTTAAATGTGTGGAAACACTTTTAAAGGATACTTATATTAATAAGTTATATACTAAGCTTTCAAGATGGTATATAATAAATATGTATTATATAATTAGATATTGTGTATTGTATAGGTAAATTATACTTTATGCTAATTATTAACATCACACGTTCACATTGGGTATTTGTCTTTGAATTTGTTTCATTTTATACTGTATTATATTTTATTTAGGACCAGCCAATAGGCAAAAAAAATGATAAAAAATATGTATAATTCATTGGTTTGTAATTATCAAATAGATTAAATAAATATTTTTTGTACATATAAAATGTATATACAATTACGTTGTATTTAGGTTTGGATTAATAATAAATTATAAACTGTATTATGTTATATTTTTAAATTCATTTTGTGTTTCATACATTATTGCCTTTATAAGATTCTATGAATTATTATGCAAGTAAATACAAATAGTTTACAATATGTGTCTATGGTATTGAATGTATCCGATAGCAAATATTCACAATTTTTATTCGATTTCAGTATTGACATATTGTTAAGGACTTGAATCGTTTAAATTAAGATATAACAATATATCCAGCAGATACAAATTATACACATTTAAATTTGAATCAAAACTAAGAATTCCGAGGATTCAAATTTTTTACTGTTACATTAATTTAAATAAACGATCACAATAGTCAATAAGGGATGTAATATAAACATAAAATGTAATCATAATGTAATCTTCGATGTAATGAGCTTAAAGTTATCGCTGAAATAATAATGAATATTGATAGTTCTAGTAAATTTGGTAATTTAAAACGGAAGTAATATCGTTAGTATAGAGAACACTTATATTTATACTATGCGACACATTTCATGTATATATTATATATTATATTTATATTTATCTGTTTAGATACGACATGTAATATGTATATATTACTGTGATATCTGTACAGCTCCGAACATAAGTAAATGTAACACACATAATATGTATATTATATATTCATCATAAATGTTTTGAACAGGAAACGGAATTAAGACTAATTCCGGTAAACCTTGTGGAAGCTTCAGTCGTGCCCATAAGGAACAATGCAAATTCGCAGGATAAGATTTTAAAGATCAAGGGCATTTGTGGTAGGTAAAATATAAAAACCAGTTGATACCATGATATAATTTATATTACCTAGTGAAATTATCATTTATTCCATGGCAAACCAGTAGTTATTGAAATGTAAATTTCACCTATGTAATATTATATGGACGCCAATGACCAAGACTCAAAAATATTACAAATTAATAATTTACATTCAACTTAAATATGTCCTATATTACGTATTCAATTAAATATGTTTTTTTATCATTGATCAATATACTCGTAATATAATATACAAACAAGTACGATAAACTAATTTATGAATAAACTAGAAAGCCCCAATTTTAATGTACAAAATGAATATAAAAATTGTATAACTCATAAAAATGAGTAAAATTTTCAAAAAATTGTTTAGAACTTCAAAACTTTTTTTACCTCTACACTCTATGATATGAACTATAACACACAGATAAAGTATGAAGTACGATTTTTCTTTTAAATAGGGTCTGTGCGAGATCATTGATTTCAAAAACAGATCGTATCGACAAGTTCTTCCTGTCTTAGAAATGAAGTATTGTAAGTTTATTTAGTGAAAAAATCGTAAGCTTAATAAATATATGACTCTGCGCGGTATACTCCTATTAGTTTTCTTTGGCACTTAAACACCTATTTTCTAATTTCCACTCGACAAATTACGTCGACAAAATTAGCCGCTTGTTGAATCGAACGAAACGACTGTAAGGGTAGATGCTCACCGTAAATCATGTCTTCGAGTTCGGCCACCAGCCTGGTCCTGGACTCCTCGGTCTCGCCCACCCGGACTCGGCCGTACTCGACCACGTAGTCCGGTAACTCTTTCACGTCCACGTCCAGGTCGGCCAGCACGTCGGGGAAATCCACGTCCGTGCCGACGGGTTTGTGGTCGTCGACGACGACGGCCGCCGGGGCGATCCGTTAGCTGTTGGACAATATGAGCTGCGGCATTTTCGGGCGCGTTTTCGTCCGTCAGTCCGTCCGTCCGTCCGAGCGTCCGTGTCACGATTGACTGATTACTGTTGAGGCGGGCACATGAAATATCGCGTAGCCGGTTGCGCGCTGTTGCTGCTGCCGCGCCGCCGCCGCCGTTCGCCGAAACAACGGTTTTGTGCTCGAGCAAAATTATATTAGTGCACTGCGTACCTGCCCTGTGTAGGTACAACGCACGCGAGCTATTATTATTATTATTATTATTATTGTTGTTGTTGTTGTTGTGCGTGTGCGTGTGTGTGTGAGTGTGTGTGTGTGGTGTAAATATATATAGGTTATTTATATGTTATGAGAACACTGTCAATGTCGTCCGTTCAAGGCCGCTCAACTCCGAACGCAGTGCGAAATTACTATGATATAGGTGGGCTACGCAAGGCGATCGGGCGAAACAATTAAAGGGGAAAACGAAAGAAGAAAAACCGACGTCTGCCGTGGGTGACCTACTCGACGGTAATTAGTAGGTACGCACCGATTATATTATATGATTTGGATTTTTCGCGACGCGCAACTGCAGTGCAGGTTCTTGATTCTTTGATCAGCTCCTTAATTCGAACTACCTGATTAATATTCGATACTAAATACTTAATATGTGATACTATGAAAATATTATCAAAACAACATCATCGAAATAATATCGCTCTATTACTGCAATAATTATAAATTATTATAAATCTATGAGAGAACGTAAAGGGACGACGGTCTGTCGGCGAATGCCAGCGGCGCGCGGTAGTGACTGTGACGACGGTCGACGACTACAACACGATCGTGCCTGACAACATGTGTCGTTTTCGGCGGAGGCTGTTGTTGCTATCCCGCCACAGCGTTGCATCACACGTCGGCGTTGCACAACTCGTGTGACGGACAGCGCAATACATTTTATACACAATAATATATTATTATTACATATTATTATAATGATAATAATGATAATAGTAATAAAAAAGATAATGATATAAATGATTTCACTCTCTCGCCGACGAAATCGTAACACGCTCCGCAGCCGTGACAGCGGCGGCGGTATGATGTGCAGTTTTCCGGTTTTCCGCCCATTAGACGGTGTAGGATTTACCATCATTGAAGCTGCAACGGGTGCATCGAACTGGGGCCCGTTGGTTTTAGGGGTTTTCACTTGTTTATGTAACTATACCTATTAATATTCAATTTTTTTATAAATTAAAAAATAATAATTGTAAATAATAGCTAATACTTGAAAAATAATATATTTGATATAATATTCGCATTATGGTTATAGAATAAAAAACAGTTCCAGATCACATGCCCTATATTACTATGGACATCTGTAGAAGACATTGTTGTATATAGGTATTATCAGCGTATGATTTTAAAAACAAATATTATATAGGCATATAGGTAGGTAGGGATATAAGTGAAATTAGCACAGGCCATAAATATTTTGCTGCATATAATAAACTTAACAACTTTACTTTGGGAACAAAAACTTAAAACCATAAAATACCTGGAAATTTACATTATTAAAATTTGAAAACTATTTATCAACAATTTTACCTGTTCTTATAAGGCAACTTCGAAAGCAAATTAAAATTAAATGCTAAATATTTTTTTCCCATATGAATTTAATACATAATATGTGTTATGTCATGAAACTATGAAAGGATAACTGTTAATTTACACGTAGTTAAAAATAGATAAAATATTAAAATGAATGAATACGTTTTTTTAAAACTATAAAAAAAACTGTGAATAATATAAGTACTAACTCTAAATGTGGGTCTTACCTTGATGCCTGCACGTTATCCTCGGACAACTTCACTAGGTACATTCAATAGTTAAGAATCTAAATTAGGCGACCAAAGTTAATTACTTGTGTAAAAATGTATTTTATTTTTAATCAGTTATTTTTGACCAACTTATTTAATTATTAACAATAAAAACACGCTTTTATTAGCTACGTATAACAATTTATAAAAAACTTGTAGAAAAATTATATCCGTTAGATACCTAACATTTTTTTGAAGGTAGCTATATAGTAAGTTATAACCTATATTAAGTCAATAAAACTATATATTCACATAGGTAGATTTTATAATATAGTATCCACATGTCTTTGGAGACAAGTTTATAGGTAAGGGTAAAATATATATACTAAAAACTGCATTTTGGATCGAATTTAGTTAGATTCAAATTACACAAATATAATAAAAGATTTACAAAAATAAAAATAAAGTTTCAAGTATCTTCCTAGTTTATTTGAGATTAACTATGCCTAATGAAGAATGAAGGTCTCTGTGATCAAAATATCATTTTTGTACCTATATTAGCTATATTATCTAATTTTAATTCTTGAGCAATGAGTGATACAATCGATTTATACATCGTAGGTAAATGAAAAATGTACAAATAAATTTAATCATGTCAACTAGTGGCTATGAAGGGGTCAATATTTTGCTGTGGGCCAACTGTCTTACAGATAGAAAACAAACCTTCTTAAATTCCTTTCCCTAAATTCCTTTTTTTGTATCAAATATTTTAACATTGAGTAACTCTGAAGTAATTACACTTTGTTACTACTACTGTATGCTTAATAAATTTAGAATAAAATAATTCAATTTTACACAAAATAAAGATATTAATTCATAAATTACTTATACATTTTAAAGCACTGTAATATTTAGTATTTTACTATTGTGAAAGTATGGTGTTTATTAAAATACATTTTTACAGCAAATAAGAAATAAATTATAGTTAAAATTTAAAATAACAAACTAAAATTAACATAGTTATTAGTTGTATTATCTATAAGAAATGTTTAAGACATCTAATTTTCTTACAGAACTACCCCTAAATTTGAAAATCAAAGAATTGTTTAGACTAATTTCCGCGTATACAGACACAATAAATCAAATAAAAAACACATGTATCATTGTAAAATCAATTCATGGATCTCTGCACTCAGGATCTGAAACGTTATCAACATTTTTATTATAATATCTTTATAAAAAATATTAATTTTTAATTTGTTTAAACTTCCTTTATATATAATTCATAAGCTTGGGTAAAAGCTGAAGTGATCCAGGGTCCTAATATGTCAACACAATTTCTTTGTTAATTAAGTTATAAAATAAAATTTATAAATTTGCCATTTGGATATATAAAATTAAAATTAGTATTTAATTCACATACCTATACCGGCTAATGGCTATACCTTTCTGTTGCCCTAGGTACAGTAGGTCCTTAACAATCATGGTCCAACGGTATTATTCATTATTTATATTAACAATCAATCAAAACTTTAAGAAAATCTTTATTTATTATCATTACTCAGTAATTGCTTATAGAAATAATCAATGAACAGTGACCAATATTTCACTAAAGGTACCTAATGAAAGTAACTGGTGTCTATTATAATTTTTTAATAATTTATGTAACTAATTTATAGATATCTAGCCACTGGCGAAAGTATGACAAATATTATGCACGCTTTTGGAATTGGTAAATCAACTATATCAAAAATAATTTTAGAATGTTCTAATGCATTATGATGGAACGTATTAGTGTATATTACTGTATTACAGTAGAAATTAATAATTTACTTATTCAAAAAACTAACATAATAAAGATGTATAGTCGTATAGAGGGTTGAAGCTTTATGCACATTTTGATTCTGAGAGAATAGAAATAGTGAAATAGAATAGTGATGAATAAATTGATTTTACAAAGATGTGTTTTTATTTTTTTTGTCTGTCATCACTTCTGGGGCAATAAAAAAGCTTTAATTTTCTACTTCAGCATCATTTCCGGTAGGAAAGCAAGTGTAGTTGATAATTTTTTTGTTGAAAGTGAAGGTAAAAATTAAAAATTCCATGTATTTTCAAAAGTATTGGGAATACAAAAACTAAAGAAAAGAAAAACAGAGATCTTTACGTAAGACTAGCTTTTATTCGAATATATGTGTAATGTGTATATTATATATTAATATTAATATATATATATTTTTACCAAATATTTATATTTGTATTTTCTGTTCACCATACGATTTTCAAAATATTTAAACTATTTTTAAGCAATTTATAGGCATGAGAAAAAAAATGTTGATATTTTTTTTTAGAATCGTTGTAGAATTGTAGATAATAGTAAAATATCCATTCATCAAAAAAATTAAAAATTTTATAGACGGTCTCTCATAAGTTTTGGTTAGCTCCTTTGTTGTCGGTTGAACAGGAAAAAAAAGAAAGTTTTTGTCAGTAGAAATTAAAAATAAATTAGCTTAAAAACTAAAATTATTTATTTTTAGAGTCTGAAGTTGTAAAATTTTAACTCACTGGTGTTGAGATCTCTAGTTATCTAACTTCTCTCACTCAAATCAGAAAGGGTTTCCATACTGGTGCACCTTACTCCCCAAGTAATTCATGTTGTCAAACCTTAGACTTAGTAACCAAATTTACTAAATATACTTTCATTTAAAAAAATAAATATATATTTTTTTTAAGTTTGAATTTAGACAAAATTAGATATTTAAAAGGAAAATAACAATTTTAGTTAATTTATTTGTAATTTAAAAACATTATTCGTGGATACTTGAAACTTTTAAAGCATATGTTATTATATTTTGAAATGCAATAAGATTTTAAAATGCAACGTTTTTGGCAAAAATTAGTTCAACCTATACTGTAGATATTAGTATAATGTCTTAAAGTACNCCACCTAGACAAGTTCTATATATTGCTTCTAAATTATATTAAAAGCTGTTAAAATCTAATAAATTAATATACAACATAATAAAAATGTACAAATTTAGTAAAAAAAATTAAAAAAAATACAGTAATATGGTATAAAAGTTAGAGCGAGACAGCTAGTAATAAGTAATAACTAATAATATAACTGTGTTCCGGTATTAACACATTTTTTTTAACCTATATTGTGTTTAATACAATAAAATACACTAAATTTATTAATTAGAACAAAATATTGTTTTAAATTACTAGTAAGATTTAGTGGCATCTATATCAGAGGTTCCCAAACTGTGGGTCGCGACCCAAAAGTGGGTCGCGATTATACTTTTGGTGGGTCGCACTATTTTTTTAAATAATACAAAAATATAATCATCTATTACTTTTCGTTGATGTTCAAAGTTCAAATTCAGTTTTATCGTCAATCCTTATCTGTGAGTATGACAATTACGAGTTTACCAGCGGCCGTGTCAAATACTATATATTATACTTATTATACATTTTTTTCGTAATTACATAAAATGTAATAAAATTGTTTAATTTTCTGTTGTATGGTAAAAAAAAAAGGTCATTCATTGATATTGTGGGTCGCTATATTTAAAAAAAAATTCAAAATGGGTCGCACAATAAGAAGTTTGGGAACCTCTGCTATAGCATATTATGACAATGATGGTATTGATGATGATTATTGTCATTTTATAGTGACATATATACTACTATCGGTCCTTACTATCGTTTTATCGGTCACCAATTTAAAAATCGTGGGAAATAACTCGTCAATATTTTTGTTATCGCTGCAGCTCGGATGATGGCTTACGACAGCAACGATCGCACACCGATTATAGATTATACAAATTTAAAATTACCCAGATATAATACTTCAGTCTGTCTAAAGCTACGAGATTACACAGTTCGGCTGTGTTCATTATTTATATATATATATATATATATATAACAATTCCACGTTTTTTCTGCTTCATTTTAAATTAATATTATTTTTATTATTTTTTTACTAATTGAAATGTCGCAATATCAAATAATAAAAATCTAACAAAAATGCGGAAAAAGTTTGTTTTAATGGCCACATGTATACGAAACATTACAGTACGTTAATATCTAATGTTTGGAGGTGCTCCAGTCTCCAAGGCATCAAGTCTCAAGTGTCCAGGCAAATTAAAAACATCGAAAGAAAATGATACTGAAATACCAATAATCGATAAAGCACATACTCATCCTCCAGACACGCATGAAGTTGAAGTCAATAAATGCTTAGCGCGAATGAAACATAAGGCAGCAACTACGTCAACAAATCCAGATTTACTGTGAAGAACTTGGAAGCTTGGATAATGAAACTCGAGCTAGGATGCCACCAGAAACAATCACTAAAAGAACTCTTCGAAATCAACGGTCAAAAAATAATTTAAAAGAACCCAGACATTTAGAAGATTGTATAATCATTAATCGAAGGTAAGTTGAAAATATTATATTATTATTTAGGCAATTAAGTCATTAATTAATTAAATCGTTATAATAGTTGAATACAATTTAATTGATTGCTACCCATACCGTTTTTTTAATATTTCTAAATATTATAATAATATAATATATTATTTAATTACTATAAAACATTTTTATTAATTATTTTTAATTTAAATTATAGCTGTATAGGTGACTGGGCACTCGCAAATGATGGACTTAGATTATTACTAAAAGATAGTATAGAAGATCAATTTGAAGACAGAGTTATCATATTCGCCACTGATGAAGGGTTAAAACATCTCACCGAGGCGGAAACATGGATGTTTGATGGTAACTTTGCATTGGCACATTCTATTTTTCAACAATTATATGTAATAAGAGTCAAAATTCATGATTTATATATAACTAGTAACTACAGTATATTGTTTGTTAGAAAAAAACGCAAACTACTTATGAATATATGTTACAATCGTTACTTAATGCATGCCATAATCAAAACTTGTACCCAGACCCTATTAATGTTCATATTGACTTTGAAAAGGCAGCTATAAATGCAGTCACATCTATATTAGGTGAACATGTAAGTATAAAAGGTCGTTTTTTCATTTAACGCAAAGTACTTATAGGAAAATACAATGCCTTGGTTTAGTAAATTTATACATGGAGAATGAGAATTTTAGTATGTTTTGTAGAAAAATTGATGCTCTAGCTTTTTTACCTATTGACGATGTTCCAGCTGGAATGGACTACATGAAAAGTAATATGCCAAATGAGGCTAGAGAACTAGTGAATTATTTTGATCAAACTTATATTTCGGGAATAAATAGACCAATTGGAATTTCACGGCCAGGTAAAAAAACTAAATTTCGAAATATTCCCCCAATCTTCCCACCTGCTAAGTGGAATATACACGAAACAACTATTAAAAGTGCAGAGCGTACTAATAATCAAACAGAAGGATTTAATCATCGATTTTCTAAACTCGTTGACTCTAATCATCCCTCTATTTGGACACTGATTAAAAAAATTAGATTAGAGATAGATTCAGATAGCACTGAAATAGATCAATTTGATATAGGTAATTTGCAACCAAAAAAAAAAAATATATATATGAAAGTATATGAAAATATGCAAGAAATTTTATTTTTACTGTGTACAAGATACAATAATAATAATGATGATAAATGATAATTATATCGAACAATTCTTAAATACTATCTACTAGCTACAGCTTATCACATACGTTTTAAATAAATACATTTGATTTAATTTTTTTAACAAACTATTTTATACATAATATATTTGTAATGCCTAATTATTTTTCGATTTTAATATGTAACATGTAATACCTTCACTTATGACTTATTATACTATTATAATATACATAATATATTTAACTAATGAATTATTTTTATTTGATTTTTTTAACAAACTATTTACTGTTATAATTTATACCTATAATAATAATAATAATTGGTTTTCGCTTTTTTTTTCCAATACGCTTTTTTTCAATTTGATTTTTTTTCCTTTGCTTTTTATTCACTTGTTTTTTTTCCTAAACTGTAAACTGACAGACCATCTTCGCTTATAGAATCGTTTTTCGAATACAATGATTTTATATCATTGAAGTAAAATTTAACACACCAATTACATAGCGAGGTCACTGGATACCTACTGCAGTATTCTACAGCAGAACAGTAACCCCTTTTTTATTTATTTAAGTGTTATTTAAACTTTATAAAAACAGCTGGATGTAAATTGAAAAAGAGTTTGAAAACGGTAAGCTAATAAACAAATACCTTATTGTGTTGGTGCTCTTGATGTAAAATATTAAATCATAATATGCACTTGTGCACCAAGTAGGTTTACTTAAATGAAGGCGATACTTATCTGCAGTCTTGTTTAATATAAAATATCTATGTTTGTATATCTAATTTGTATACATCTATACGACTATACATAAAGTAAAAATAATACCATGTGGGGTTAAACACCAAACCCCTCTCTCACTGTGTGTACACCACTTAACGTGATGCTTACTATATTTGCACTTATATGAATATATTGACACTCCGAGTAGATGTAGTGTGGCAGTGTATTCAAACCATATGTAAGCTAGAACCACTTTGAACCATATCCTACAAGAGCTACTTCAGAGTATATGGTTACATTCTTTTATAGGAGCTAATGAAGCTTTTCCCTTATCACCTTGATTGATGAGTCCACACTCTTTTAATTAAATATTAATGCCTACTTTTTATATAGACTTGGCAGAGCAAGAATATGTATCTACAATTTTATATAATATTAGGTATTAGTAGGTATTTAATATTTATGTATTCTTACCTAGCATCACAGTAAAATATTAAATCAAAATGTACTCGTTACTATAGAATTAGAATTTTATTATAATTTCCTGTTAAAAAGTGTTAATTATTCGTATATTAAGTAATACTTAATGTTAGGTATTAAGGTATTGTGTCTATATTGTATATAGGCTTGGTTCAGAATGTCTTGGATTTATCAAGGTATTTATTGAAAATGAACTATTCTAGGAATCGTTTATTCAAATAAATTTTGTTCGTACATACTTTTTAATGTTCAGACAATCCATATAAATTGATACAATTTTATTAATCTGATCATTTCAAAAAACCATGGAATTTTAATTGTTATGGTGTCGCGTGTAAGACTCTACTAGGTTCTATAACCTATGTTGTGATTCGTTAAATGGAGTTTGTCAGGTAAGTGATCATCGGTTCATTTCGGTTCTTCATAATTATATTAATACTAACTACTAAGTATTATTGTTAATATTTAATAATAACACTTGACCTGGGAAATATAATAAATGCACAAATTATTCTCGGAGATGATATGACATATTTTCGCGAAAGTTTTTTGAATGAAATATATATTGCCCGAGGTGGTATTTAAGAAGAATTTTGAGTAGGTAGGTTGTCAAATATTTGTGAATGCTAATCAATCACTATTCGGTTCATCGACCTTAGTGCATAAATATCTATAGTACTTTTAGTAAAGAATTATGAAAGAAAATTTTTTTTTTTTAAAACAAGTTAGCTCCTGATTTAATGAGATTTACTTACACTTTATGGTGCGGCATTTAATTGAACATTATTTATAGTGGATTAATTGATTTGTTATTTCTACAATTACGTTATTATACGTAGATATGTTGATTTTTTAAGTATAAATTAAATGTGCACGATGTACCTGTAATTGTCCTGTATAATATAAAACTGCCTTTTTTTATAAGTATTATGATTAAGGACATCCATGTAGTAATTACGGCCTACGGCAGCGTATGTTTTAATCAAACCTAACTTTTATTATTATTTCTTTCTTTTTTATATATTATAATATACATTATACATTATATAGCTACACCAGTGCAAGTTGTTTAATTTATATTTAAGTACCAATGTAGTATGCACTATGTAGACACACGACACTTATAATATTACAAAACTGTTTTTGTTCTTTGCAGGTACCTATACATAACTGTATTAGAAAATTAGAGTAATGTAAGTTGTAACCGAAAAAATATTTATTTAAACTTAAAAGGCTTTTTTGTATTTATACATACATCGTTACTTTAGTTGGTATAGAACCTCACTGTGACTAACCTACTACTTACTAGCCCTCTGATCTTGGTGGGTTGTCCGCGTAGCTCCTTCTATGTATTATTTATGGGTGATTGTACTAGGGGGGAAATAGAATATACTGAAGATGAATCCCCCATAGCCTTTTTTTGTTTTACCATTTTACATATGAGAGAAATGTATCTTCAGATGAGTATTTCTATAATATTTTAGAAAAAACCTTCTGTATTTAGGTACCTGGTAGTTGGCGTTCAATAATAATAAATTCTGATTCTAAAAAAATAAACATGAAATATAAAATATTTTATAGTATTTACTTTGTACTTTTAATATGTGAGCAAATATTATACAGGTAGCCACATATTATTTTTTTTACGATAATAATACGCAAGATTATTTAAATTGATACCTATATCAAGACAATTTAAACATCATTTAAATTTACAAAAAAAAATGTTTACTTTCAAACTCGAATACAAAATAAAATATAAAACCGATGTCATACCCTCAAAAATATTATAATCTAAATTTTTATGATCGGCGGTTTTACTCCAAAATACTCGAAAATCATAAAAAATTATTTTTGGTGAAATGTTGTATCTATCATGTAGCACGCGAGTCTGAGAAAGAAAACAAATATTGTGCTGACATCATCTTAACAGATTACGCATTGGTTTTTTTTAAATGATAGAGTATTTTGCGGAGCAGGTTTAAAACATAGTCTTATATATGAATCCATCTTCTGTCCACCAAATATTGAAAGATAAAATAAGAATAAACTGGTTGCACCTCTATTATCTCATTTAGTTCTAAACTAAGTTCTATTAGTCTATTACATAAAAAAAAACAAATAATCGAAAATGTCATTTACCTATAAATAGTTCAACACAAATCAAAATATTTTGAAAATTGTATGGTGTATTAAAAATGGTTACACAAATATACAGTAAAAATTGCATGTATCGACCGTCATTTTTGTTTGAATTACACTAAAAACCAAAATCGATTTTTTTCAAAAAATGGTTTTGTGTAAAATTTCCCATTTTTCCTTAATTTTTTGTTTGTTTTTCCTGTTGCTTTTGAAAACTACTGGGAATTTTAAATTTTGATCTCCCGAATGCACCAATTAGATTCACTTTCCTACCAGAAACGCTGCTATTTAAGAAAATCGAAGCACTTTTACTGCACGAAACCGTGATAAACAGACACAAATAAAAAAAAAATTAATAAATAAATAAATAAATATAAAAACACGCTTGTACACATCGTTGTAAAATCATTACATTCATCGCTCCTCTCAGAATCTAAAATGCAATAAAATACATTCAACACAAAAAATGCAATAAAATACATTTAACACAAAAATGCAAAAATGCAATAAAATGCAAAATACAAAAAAAAAATTACAAATTCTTAATTGTCACGAATCAAATTTAGTTTTTGGTTAGAACTGTATAGCACTTAAAGAAAAAAATGCAAGTCACCAAAATCCTAGTTCTAGTTATCACTTATCACTCAGTAATTACTAATTAGTAACATACTTTGGCATAAATCACATTATGGTGGTAGTGAAATAGGTCTAACCGACTTGCTACACAAATTAATGCATTGTTTCTATAAGATAGGTATTGTTTCATAAATTGCATTCAATAGAAATTTACATGTATTTTATAATACTTATAAGTTTAAATATTTTAATAGCAGTTTAAGAATAAATAATTATTATTACAAATTTATTTGTGTTATTAGTAATACTGTTTTGAATAATAGATAGGTAGGTCGTAGGTACCTATATGTATTTAAATAATTTTTTCCTCAATTATCCATTATCTCTTTATATCGTTTTACCTTGGATATTATAGTTCTGAAGTACTTAACATAACGAAAGTAGAATATCTAATACAATTTAAACAGTTCAGATTTTAAGTAGTAGTGTAATACCTATTATTGCCTACCACACGGTGGGTAGTTATTATTAATAATAAGTCTTCTATATAATATTATTCATGTATATAATTTTTTTAACTTCAACTTGATTATAGACATTGTTATAGAAACTAAAATTTTAAAAATAAAGTTGATTTTGCAGTTGGTAAAAATGCGGTTATCATGTGTACAAAAAGAGAAAACTTTTTTTTTTCCAATTTACACATTAGGTGAATTTATTAATATTACTTAATAGTTGTTAAGGTTGCTGGAGCCGGCTATATAAGGGGGGAAAAATGAAGCAATTTCTAGTTAGATGGCATGGCTGCCTTACACATTTTAATATATATCTACCGTTATTCATAGTGCCCTACTACCATTATCTTTTAAATATTTTGTACTTATAAAATACTTAATTATCACATCTACTTCAAATTGCATCCATTCCGCAGCTGCAAAGCAATATAATATATTACATAATTATAGAGAAAAATTTAGAAAAATAAAGCCCATAAAATATATGTGTAGGCAACACAATGATATTCCATGCACAACATTTTTTTTTACAACAATAAATTATTTTGTTCACAGTGACTACTTATAAGGTATACATGTATTATACTCTTTACATAGTATTTAAAGGCTAATATTTTCTTGATTTTTGATTTGTTTAGTAATATTACTTCTAACTGTATGAAAACAAAGACCACAACAAAACGAGTAAAAAACATTATGGGTAGGTAGAGAAACTTTCTCAATACTGTTAGTATTGTATATTAGCTTAGTATAATTTAAAATGAATGAAAAATATGACTAATATAGTAATACCAAACAAAACTCTAAAAGCAATAATTATATTATATAATTACTATAATTTTATTATACTTGAAACGTATTAAAATATATTAAAAACATTAATTTCTATAAAAACAAACTCGTTTTATTTAAACTTAAGCAAATTACTATAGTACAATAACATAACAATTCTGTTTTTCACCATCTTGGTTGTTGTAAAAAATATAAAAATAAAAAAGTGAAATGATAAATTAACACATAACTATATCTAAGACAAAAGTTAACAATTTCATTATAATGTATATTAATATATAAAGTTTTGTGTCATATTTTAAAAGGCCTCATTAGGGTGACACAAAAATAGTTGTTAAATGATACTTTCTCATTAGATGGTAAATTCAAAAAAATTCAAAAATAGAATATAAATATTTATAAAACAAAAATAGATTATTGAGATTAAAAATTGCACGTAGCAAAAAAAAAAAAATGCTCTCTTTATAATAAATTATAGTCCCATTTTTTTGTTCTAGAAATGAAAATCTATCTGAAAAAATATTAAACAAATAAATATTGGAAAATACAAAATATTTTGATATTTTTCATACATATTAAATACCACTGAGATTGTCTACCATATTAATAATTTAAAAACAAGTATCAACATATTACAAAACAAATATAGAGCAATCTGTGTACTCTCAACAATCATTTTTATGCATTGTAAATGATGTTGGCAGATTAATTATTCTCTTTTGAGATAGAGTATAGTTTCAATAAATTTAAGAATAATAGCATGGAGTTAGTTTTTTTGTTATTTTTAATTAAATAATATGATTAAAACAAACATCAGGCAATAATTGTTTCTTAATTTTAAGACCTGTCTGGCCTGTTAAGCTTTTTAAAGTGACCCGCAAAACTAATATTTTGATACTTAATCCCAATATCTAAGCTATATATAATATAAATATATCCAACATAACAATATTGCAAATAAAACAACAAATAAATAAATCAATAGGTAATAAATAGTTCATAATACTAACAATATTTATTTTTGAGTAGTTGGATGCACATAGGACCTTTGTTGATTTCTCTTAACGCGTCTATATTGACGTCCTTCAATGAAGCCAGCATCCCAATCTACTACTAGAAATTTTCCATCTAATAATGCTTTATTCATAGTTTTCATGCAATTTTCGGTATCAGCTCTAGTTTCATATCTAAACATAGTATAAATGTTAATTAAATACAATTCATTAGGCAGTAAAAAAATCTTATTATATCTAATTTTACATGCAATGAAAATAAATAGTCACTATTTTAACTGTTTAAAAATAGTAGGTCTCAGATTTCCAACAAATTGTTTTGGATGTCATGAATTATGTTATTCATAATAAAAACACAAATTAAGTGATATATTTTGATAACATGTCTAAACAAGAGTCCAAAACTCACCAAGTAATTTATAGTTAGAAACTTCAAAATGCATTTTCCATATTTTTTGGTACAACAATTGAAATTTATTTTAAAATATTTATATAAGTATTAATAATTATGTGTACATACTCAACAAAGCAAAATCCACCAGGACCTAATGTTTGTCTATCCAATCCCATGATGATGGTTTTTATTTTTCCTGCCTCTGAAAATAGCTTATGGATCTCCGCTTGAGTTGAAAGCAAATTTAAATTACCAACATACACAGTAGTTGATTCTACAAGCTTTTTTGAATAATCTGTGCGAGAGCCCTAAATTTAAAGAAAATTAAATTATATATTTTAATAATTAATATTGTTTATTTTAATTAAAATAATTTTATAATCAATTAACATTCAGCATTCGAAAAGTATCAAATCTTTCAGCAATAACTACAGACATAAATAATGTTTCATAGTATAACAAATTAAAATTTACTTAGAATAGATAATCACAATTTTGAAGTTGTTAAAAACATCTGTTTAAGAGCAATAAATGCCATCATAATACCAAATCAATAACTGTTTTTTAAATATTAAGAAAGTTATCTCTACAGCTAGTACATAGAGGTATAATAAAAAGTACATACCTTGAACTTATGATCAAAATACTTGGATAGACCAACATTGTCTACATTGTTCAAATTGCGTTTAGCAGGTGGTACATATAACTTGGTTAACAATTCTTTACTTCGCAAATTCGGAACAATATTATTGTTTACCTTAGGGACCATTAAAATTTTTTTTATTATTTATGAGACAAAATATTTAAATTAAAAACATTCAAGTATAAAAATATATTATACTGTCAACTTTAGTATCTAAATAATATTATTATTATTTTGTATGTAAAAAGATATGTTTGTAATATCTGTACCATCAATAATTATTCATCAATATCATATTATATATTAAAAATATACTATTGGAAGGGAAACTAACTTCTTAGCATTATATTGTAGCATAAAATTAATGAATCAAGATTCAAGAATTTAATAATACTTAATGAAAATATTTTTTTTAGATTTTTCAGAAACAATAAAAACAACATAAATATTATATCATACACCCTTACACATAGTGATTTACCAAGCATGTGCACCATTTTTCCTTTAATAATTAATTTATTCAAATTCTAATTTTTGGGATTTTTAAATATACTCAAAGACCATATTTTCAAACTCTTGAATTTTTTCATATTACTTAGGGAGTGTTCAATGTTGATAAAAACTTCAGGTTTTCAAATGAGAACCCCTTCTTTACTGTAAATTAATTTGTGAACATTTTTTTTGAAAATGTTAATGTACTCCATTCAAAATTCAAAAGAGTTTTAATAGTTTAAAATTTGAATTCAATTGTTTCTTAGTTACTCATTACTATGGACCTATTATCCTTAGAACACAAAGTTACATAACCCAAAAACTACTCGTACAAATTTTTATTTTTATGCCTGAAATTTCAGAAAAATTATCTGCTGTATAATTTATAGTTGAACAGGGGTTTATTAAAAATCTCAAGAATTTGAAAACATGACCTTAAAATATATTTAAAAATTAAGAAAATCAGATTTTGAATAACTGTATTATAGAAGAAAAAAGGGGTTTACATGCTTGGTGAATCTCCTTGTGTGTTAGAATTAAATAGGTAGATAATAATAACAGGTACAACTATAAAGTGACCAGATTTTCCTTTTTATATAAGAAAGTTTTAAAAAGAAAGCATTTAAAAAGTCTATCCCGGTATCCCGACAAAAGTTTTCGGGTAGCTTAACTGTCTTTTTTTAAAACTTGTCCTATTTTTAAACTTTTTTAAATTATTTATTTTTACAAGCAATATACAATCTGTATCATTTGATAATGTTTAAGAATATTGGCTAAAAGTAACAAATATGACAGGTTATTAACATTATTTTGATAATGGATGACACTTCCTGTGATTACTAAATTATTAAAATCATTTTTTTTTTTTCTATAACGCTTGCCACTGTGCATTAGACGTCTTGGGAGATTACCAGGCATGGTAGTGAAGTTCAATTGTTTGATAAGAGGATTTAAATAAGTACTTAGGAGGTTATGGGATATTTTATAGAAACATTTAGATTCATCACTTATTGTTTTTAATTTTAAGTCTGAATGTGGAGAAAAATTTGAGACCTGGGGAGGTGCATTTATTAACTCTCTTAGAGCAATGTTTTTAAATGTTTGAATTTTGTTTATGTTTGATTTTTTTGCATTACCCCGTTATCTTACCCATAGCTGCAGACCATATGTCCATATTGATTTGAGTGGACTTTAATACTTATGCGGTTTGATACCCATGGGATGTATTTATTATTACATAATATAGTTTTTAGCATGCATAGACGATTATTTAAATCTAGTCTTTTAGTTCTCATATGGTGGACCAAAGCAAGTTGTTGATAAAGTGTTAGACCAAGATATTAAACTGTAGGAGATTTTCATACTTATAAAAAATATGTAATGAAATTACAACTGCAATAATAGACACCAAGGTGTATCAACTTCTACTAGAGGTTAAGTATATTAAATTAATAATACATGATGATTTGTTATTTTATTAAAAATAGACATTTTAATTCATCCCGTATATTATTATTTTATAACTGGCAAGTGGCAACCCTATAGTCTGTTCAAGATGAAATCGGTACAAGGAACATAGCCACACCTATGCATAGTAGGTGGCCGCTTGTACCAATCTCATTCTAAACAGACTATATACAACTATGTACTAAATAATAAATGTGTTAAAAAGTATACAAATTTGAGACAAATTTTGAAAATATATTAATTTTCTTTAATTTAGTTTTATTCTAGACTAACTTAGTATGATTTAATTTAATTAAGCAGAAAATAAAGTTGTAATCCAACATCATTCAATATATTCAACTACCTAACATTATCATTATAATTTTTTTCAGTGCTTAAATTGTAAGAGGAGGAAAATATAAATATATAAATAAATTTCATTCTATTACTTTAAACATCTTTTATTGACAATTACATCAATCAGTTTGAAATTTGAATAGGTACAATTCTAAAGATTTAGTACCTAGTTTATTACATTTGAGAATGTGTACAAAATACAAAAATTATTTAGTTATTAAATAATGCTAAATGCTTATAATTTATAATGCTAATAAAGGATACAGTTTACACTGTACATATTAATACCCATCTAGTAACTATTGATACTAATAATATTCAAACAAACTTTAAAATTAATTTATATGCCTTGTAAATAAATACATTTTTACCTTTGAATCATTATTGTTCACACAATTGGAAGTATTATTGTTCACTGAATCTACAGTTTCTACTTTGGTTTCTACTTTGGTTTCTACTTTGGTTCCTACAAATCCATTTCGCAAATGGGGTGGTCTATACGCAGCGCATGACCGTATTGATTCATTACAATTGGAAGGCATATTATTGACAAATTGTAAGACAACAAAATAAAAATATCTGAAAATATGTATTAATTTTATCAATAGGTAGTTAAATGAAAAAAAACTTTAATTTAACTTGTTAAAATAAAAATAAATAAATTAGAAAACCACTAGCAACGGTTAATACTAATAATAATTTAATAATTTACCATTTTATTAGATAGGTAGTTTCAATTTTGTTTTTAAATTAATATTCACTGTCATCAACTACAATATTAGTGATACACAAATTTACATGCCTATTATATTTAATTACTAAATGAGGTGTTAATGTGTTACAATATTACTAATATACAATTAGTTTAGTAACTACAATCAATTTTCAATGATGATTAAAATGTCTAGAATAAATTATTTTAAAAATAACATCATGAATATAGACAAATTTTCACATTTTAATACTAAATATAAATCTATTATACAAATTAGCCTATATGGGTTAGATAATATAAAAACAATGCAGGCCAAAACAGTTCTATTCTGATGGATACAGCCTCAAATAACATTATTATTAAACAAACTTATAATTGTGTACGTCATATTGTTATTAATTTTAATTTATAAGTTAGTAAGTTAATTGTAAGGATACACTTCAATATTCAATTAATAAAGTAGATAAAATGTGCCCATATACACAGCTAAATACTTGAGGTTTGATTAAAATGATCTAACTCGAAACAAATGAATTAACTTCTCACAGAAAAAGTACCTTTTTAGGTCTCAAGATTTTATATAATTGTTTTAAGTAATCAATTTACAATATTCGTATTCGTATACGCGTCATAATGACACATTATTTAGTATCTACTTACTAAATATTACTTACCTACGTATGAAATTCTAAAATGGTAGTCAAAAAAATGAAGAATGAAAAATATGGACGGAAAATTAATGAACGCGAGCAGCTAAAATATGACAAATGACAAATGAAAAATGAAATGTACGATTCTCCAATGAAATTACTATAAATTATAAGTTATACAGCTGTCGGTCGTTTTTGGTACGGATGTATGGTTTTTAAAATAAAACATCGATTAATTTATATTTTCCTAACCTCAATTTCGGATATAATATTGACATTTGACATCCGTATTCCGTATACCTATGGCATACCTAATGTTGTTTTAAAAATATACAACCCGAGAATTGGTACCTAATTTTATGGAAAAATGTCTGTAGATAATAATATTAGTATTAATTTGTTTTAAATAATATTAACGACATTTTTGTCAATGAACAATAATTATTTACACAACTAAACGAGTTACCTACCTATTTTATAATACTGAATATGATAATAATATATAATATGAATTTTCGACGTAAGTTCTAAGGAAGACACATGGGTACCGTCATAGTACTGAACTATACGAATGACTATCGTGGTGAACTGGTGAAGGGAGGCTCGCAATCGACGGCAACGTTTAACCGGTTGGCACTTTTTAAATTGAAAAAATTCATTGAAAATGTAATTATTTGAAAACAAAATACCCGCATTCGCGTGACTCCGAGTCTCAAAATATAAATTTGAACGTTGTTTTGTATTTTGTTGTACGTTCGATCGTGTCATTTTTCGTTATCTAAATATCTAATCAGTAATCTACGAGCGGAGTGCCTAAGCGTTGGGAAACAGACTGTATAAAAATAAACGTTCAGCCAACGAGTTAATTAATATTGTGGTTTATACTTTTATCACGTCTTATTACAACTGTTAATATCATGAGTGGGATTCGCGGGGTGGTTCAGAGAAATAGTGAATCGCTACACATCTCTCATAATCTTGTACTGTCGTGTCCGGTGTCGCACACTGTATCTGCAATTATTAGTTACAACCCATTACCTTTATGGCTACTATATAATATAATGGTTTAATCTCGTAATCGAATTTACGAGTAGGCACAGAGAGAATAATAAGCTCACTCCCGATATAAACTTAATAATATGTATTATGTATTTAAATAAGCCCATCGGCCATAGCTATTCGCTTCTGTTTAATAATATATTTGTTTGAAATAAAAAATCTGTGAAACTATTGTGTCTTGTAACTTTGTCCATAAATTTCTCATTTGAAAGAATAAATAAATGAGAACCTACTTTTTTATTATTTACTTTATTTAGTTATTATGAAGATAATATTATTCGCAAAAGTTGAACTTAATTAGTATACTTAGATATGAAATTATTACACACCAGGTATTAATTTCACATTTCACAGAAACATTGTCTGAACAACTGCTGCATAAAATATATTTATTATTCATATCTAATTTTTGCTATAATAATTCATTATCAATAAATACCTATTATATCTTTATTATCCTATACCATATTATTATCTATAAATAGGTATATTTGTATCTTTTTTAATTACAGCATATTTCATAAGGCCATTCAATATAATGTAATCTAATGAAATATTAAATTGTAAATTTGTAACAATCAATTGTTAGATTCAAACTGATTGCCGCTGTTTTGAGATGTCTACTTGTCCAGTTGTCCCGATGAACTTCGAACAGGACTATAATTTACTACTACTATTATGTCACTAGACACTAAGGGACGCGTTTTGTTGCTTTTTAATCCAGTCATCAGAGTCATCTCCTTGCTATAAAGTATAAGAATTAACCTATTTGGCTGTACACAAAACAAAAATATAACAATATTAGAATATTAAGATTTGAGACCAAAATTAATAACAATGTAAATTTTTAAATAACAGTCAAGTTTCAATAAATTATCGTTTGCGGTAAGCAATAGACATAATATCATTGTTGTGTACAATTATGAAATCCACAACGTTTCCCACATACATCAGTCATCAATACATCTTGTCCAGTGTCAGTTTGACATATAAATGCCTTAAGCAGGGATTTGCCGGCAATTTGTATCAAAATGTACCCTTGGCTAAGTTATGACCAGAACACCAGGTTGAAACGGTGAAATTCTTGTTTGAATTAAACCATTCACTAACATATTATATTAATTAAAGTATTGTAATTTACTAATTACTATATTACTACTATAAACTTTATAATATTGGTACAGTTACATTATTGAAGGGAAAATTACTATTTATATGACTATAATACACTTATAGTTTATACACAATGTATATAATACATACTATATAGGACATATACATACATAAGTGCATAATGTTTCACTCCAAGTCGGTTATTGTCTACAGTTACTGGCCGTAGACAATGGACATAGTATATTATTATCCAGACTCCAGAGCACACAATATTTGGACAAAATTAATTATAAACATTTCTAAATACCTAGTTGCAAACAAGACTTATATGTATATAGTACTATAATAATTATTAAAGTTGATGGACATCGACATCTAGACGTTTGACGATAATCGTATACTCGTATTGATAGTGGGACGTATTATAGGTAGGTACTAGAAAATAGGTACTGAGGGTCAAGGGAAGTACATAAAAGTATAATTTAATAATCAGGTAATGAGGACGCATTGTAAGCTATTTATCGCGATTATTATATTATATGGTAAGTACGCAACTAGAATGCTGATCATAGAGTAATATTGATGCAGCCATGCAGACATAATTATCGTACCTGTAACCTGTACATAATATTATATTGTTGCAAAGGTACGTTAATACGTTATAGTGTCGTGTCAGACCTACATTGAGCTGCATTATACATAATACACAAGGTTAAGAGGACGTAATACTAGTATTTGTTGTCTCCGTCTTACCAGTGCGTAATATAGCAAAATTACGCTCGGCAGAACACGTGTAGCTCCTTTAGTTTAAATATTAGAGTGAATCGACCTATTATGAAACTTGATGGTAAGAATATTAGGTATCTGTGTTGGTACGTTGGTTTTTTGCGATAATTCAATTTTTAAGTGAGTTATGACCATTTTTAATTTACCCTATATTATATACATATAACTTGCTAAAAAATTAAAGTATCGTAAAAAACCAACGCACAAACACAGATGATGTTCTGTAACCATCAAGTTAGCTAATAGGTCGATTCACTCTAATATTTAAACTAAAGGAGCTCCTAGTGTTCTGTCGAGCGTAATTTTGCTATATTACGCACTGGTAAGACGGAGACAACAAATACCAGTATTACATCCTCTTAAGGTGTAACAGAAAGACCTCTGACAAATAATATGATTTTTGTTCCAATCAATATTTTCACATTTTTTTTTATATATTTGATTTCTAAACGCTTGTACTTATGCATTATAAACACAGTAAAACAATTTTTTTTCATTTTTAAAATAAGTACTGAAAATAAAAACTTGAATTTTGTATAAATTATTATGATTTTGAGAACTTCCTGACATAAGTGTATTTCATAAATTATTTATCATCCATATCATCTTCATCATTTTTGCCATTTGTGTTAACCAATATCAATATTTTGTGTTTTTATTTGTCCCGTTCTGTTACACTTTGTATACTTTGATAGTTTGATGCGTTCAATTAAATAGCATGGTGAATTGCTGTAAAAAAAAAATGAAAAATGTATTGATCATTTAAATATGATAATAATAAACTTAAATATGATACAATTATTTTAAAACATTTTTTTATTTCGTCAAAATTTAATTTTTTTAAATTTAATATACATTTTTCACTTGGACTGGACTGAAACACATATTGCAGAAATTACTAATATTTAGTAATCCAGTGGTCCAGTTAGCCAAAATCCAAATATTCTACAGTTTACGAAGTCAATACTCAACAGCTTTTTTACACGAGTATATATTTTAATTAGTGATTACCAGGCAGGCAAGAACCTAACCGAGATTAGTAATTTTAGTATAATATTAGTTATAAAATATAATAATTGTTAGGTATTCTATTTTAAATCTCCTAAATTTTGAATTTTAATCTGTATAATGACTGGGTGTGTTTTAATATTTTAATTACATTATGGCATTATGCAGTACAATAAAAAAAAAAAAAATAATAATAATAATAATAAAATAAAATAAAACAAAATAAAACAATAAAATTAACCAAAACATCGTTTGCATTATTCGCTACTTGGAAATCGCACGGATCGTAATTCGCAAGTGATAACAACAACAATAAAATTATATGCTATTTAAATATTATAACATGGTTACACACACTACAGACAGTCCATTCGTCCGTGAATGTTATTTTTAGTTTCCGAAAAACGATGAAGATAATAGGTACGGGGAACGAGTTAGTTTTATAAATCCTTTACGATAACAATTTACGAGACGGTTTATAACATATTATTATATATTTATATTATATGCTGTTGTAGTGTGGGGCAATGAATACAATATATTATGAAATATTGAAATCACAAGCTCTCGATGCATTTCTCGCGCGATTATTTTCTATGCAATTTCACGGAGGTGGATGCATCGACATTTGGTAGGTACTCGTAGCCGTCGCTTGTTTGGTTGCAGGAGAAGACCACGGCGAATCGAGAAACGCGATGACGATCGATGGCAAGTGAAAAATAAAACACAACGACACCTCCGGCCACACGGGGCCACGACATGCGGGCCCGGCCGGAGAGTTGTTGTCCCGCAGCTCACAGTCTCACACACACACACACACACACACACACACACACACATACACACACACATACACACACACATACACACACACACACACGTTTGCGTAATTGCGCAGGTACTTCTTACATAATATTATGTATGAAATCATGGATATAATTATTTAAAATCATTACTGTAGGCCGTAGTCAATAGTCATTAAACGGCAAGGGTGTCTGCGCGTGCGCGTTCGGCGCCCGGCTAGCCGTGACGAAGTCGTAGCACGCAACGTCGCGAACTCGCGATTCGCATTGATTCCGACTGACGAATGACGGACAGGCCTCGCGGTTGTCTCCGATCTCCGCGGTGCACAGTCCACAGTCTGCGACCGGCGTACGACGCCCACCCGAGTCGTGTTTGCACTCGGACCTGGCAATTAGCCCAGCCGCCGTTGCCGTTGTCGCGGTACACTGGTGGCACCCAACCGGCGATAGGCGCTCGCCGTGGTCCGCCGAAATCCCCGGCGGTCAAAGCTCTCCAGTGGTCGCCATGACCACCTACCTAGACCTCGGGCCGTTGTGTTTTTCGTTGCGCTCCGAAAAAGTGGTCGAAGTGCTGTACAGACGGACCGACAAATTCCAGTCGACCATCAGCATGTTGTGCAGCCGCTTCGTAGCCAACATCAGGTGAGTACCGGGTCCGCGAGATCATTTTTCCGTGGGGGGAGAGCGGCAGTATATTATTGATATTTGATACAACTCCGTTCACGTAAGTGAAAGCACAACTATTTCGATCGGCGTTAGTCGCCTTATTTATCAGTCCTCTATAAGAGTATGGTGGCTAGTTACAAGGTCTTGAACAAGATCTAAAGTTTTGAAATTTGGGGAGAGGCTAAATTGTTTTTTCAGAAAGACATAATTTTAGTACATATTATTAAGTATGTAACATTAATATGTATAATTTATTTAAAAAAATCATTTTACATTTGATTTCACAATCATATTTGAAAAACTTCACAATTTAAAAAAATCGTCTATGGGGAGGGCGCAAAGCTTCTTAGCCCCCAGCCACCGACAAGTCACTCCTAAAGTTTTGTGGATAAGTTGTGTAAAAGATATTTACCTGGCTACACTACCTGAATATATTTATTTATATTTTATGTAGCGTAAGAGTGATCATTGGGGTTTAAGTACAACCAGAATTAAATGGAAATCAGACTTTTAGATATGTAAACTAGTAAGTTTACCAGCTAAGGGGTGGTTGAGACAGTTAATCCATGTTTAAGAATTTCCTATATTGGTTAGATTGTCAAAAATACATTTTTATACAATTCGAGTGATAAAACATATTTTATTGATTTTTATTATTTTAAAAAAATAATTGAATTATGATCAGATTATTTGTTATTTTAGTATGTATTAAGTTTTCACTAACTTAAGTATACGTTTTATGAATCTATTTATCTAATTCTTATTTCTTAGATTTCTTAGATTTTTCAAATATTGCTAGAATAAGCACTTATTACCATAACAAGAATTATTGATAATTATAATCCAATATCTATCCATAGTGTGAACATTTGTGAATCTCGAGGTGAATCTATTGTAACAAATGTAATAGTCTTGTAAAGTATTTGAATAAAAATATTGTAATATATAATTTGTATTAGAATACTATTAAATTTTTTTTTTATATCCAATTATGTAATATGTAAACTTAAAACTTTTTTCAGATAAAAAATGTAATTGTGTTTATAAAGTAAAACTGGGTTAGTGTCAACACTCATTAAAACAATTAAATTTAGTAAACACACGAAAAATCTGGCAATAGTTTCTTGTTAGGCATTACCAAATATGAATATATAACATCAATAAAGTGTATTTGTGTATAATATGAAATATTAATAATTATTAGAATTAGGATGTGGAGGAGAGATATTTCTGTTTCGTTATGAACTTGCTTATTCATTATGAATCATGGAGCTGTAGGGCATATTCTTAGAAATTTGTTTAAACAATTTGAATTTTTAAAATTTTATTTGGGTAGGAGCTGCCCATATTGGGCAGGCATTAGTGACTAGTGGTCAAATTTTTTAGTGTACAGTAAGATTCATGATTTTATTTGGAGTTGATTTAGAGTTAACCAAGTGATAATAATATATTGTACTCATTCTTTTATATCCTTGGATGAGCTTTTTATTTAAATTAATTTTCCATATCAGTTTTTATCTTTTTCTGAGAACACACCAAGGTACTTGTTGGCATCATATTTATTATTCCATCCTATTGCTTGGTTATCTATTTGAACAAGCTTTAGATCTTAATAACATTTTAGAGTAAAGATTTTTGTTGCACTTTTCCTAAAGTTCAGTTTCCATTTTTTGAACAAGGTGGTCCCAATGCTTGGGGAAGTTTGGAAGTTTTAAATAGAAGATTCAGGGAGTTATATTTTGGGTTATAACTGTTGTAACATCTACAAACATCACCAGTTGAGAGTTTGGAGGAATTGGTATGTTGTGACAGCAGGTATTAAAGATAATTGGGATAGGACTGAAGTTTAATGAACAAACTATACTATTATGTTACCAATTCAAAATCATAATACAAACACCTACTCTTCTATTTTTAATTAAATTTTTTCTTTGCTATACCTAATGTTTTTCCAGGTAACACAAAATATTTGCTCTTTCAAAATATATTTATTAACTAAAAAATTGTACTAATTGAATCACATGAAAAAATTATTTAAATAATTACGACATATTTTTAAAACTAATTACAGATAGGTAGGTATATTACATATTTACCATTTTAACTGTTGAAGTGTTGTTGTTGTAGATATCCTGATACCTCAAATGATGAAATTATAGAAAACGAAAAGTTTAGTGATGAAGAATTTGATTTACATTCAGATAAATCCAAATTAGGCACTACAATTGTTGAAAACGAGCCATGTTATTATAAAATGTAAGTACTTCTTTTATGTAGGAATTTATTACTATTATTTTTAATTTAAATTATAATAGTTGTATTTAAACTTTTAATATTAGTGAAATAAGTCTAGGTTCTATGCTTTAACATTATTGAATATTAAGGCTTTATAGCGCTATAATGAATTGACTTCATATGTTTTAATTAAAAGTTCAGATATTTATTTGTATAAAATCTTAAATTATATCAATAAATTGCAATATTTTTGTGTGAATTTGATAAAAGTAAAGAACAATCAAATTTGTTGAGATTGAATTACTTTATGATTACAGGAATATTAGACATTTTTAAAAGTATCAGTTAAAATAATATAAATTAAAAAAATCTCGTCTATTTTACTAACTTTGAAGAATATTCAAAAATAAAATAATGATAATTTAGATAGTCTAATTTTGTTGTTTATTGTAGGAAATTATACGATAAAGGAGTACACAAAATTAATGAAGCTCTTAAAGATATAGGTTTAAAAGTGTGTAATTTGAATTCTAGACAATATAATATGGAGCCATTACAGATATATTATCATAAGAATAATATTGCAAGTATTCAAAATAGAAATTATTCGCCAAAATCAAATGTTAGTGTATTTTTACTGAATTTACTTTTACAATTGTACGCAGTATGTAGCTTAAATTAATTTAACTATACACAAATATTCAATTCTGATTTATTGTGTTTCAGAGTTCAATAGATAGTCCGAATAAATATTTATGCGAAGAAAGTGATTACAAGTCAGTTTCTTCTACACTGTCTTCAGAAAGGATATTTTACATGGATGTTAATGAGAATAGAGTATGCATAAAAATGTTTTACATATCTCATTTCATATTAGCTTTGTAACTTTTATTGTTTTGCATAATACATCAATTAACTATTTTACAGGGATTATATGTATATAATATTATATATATTATATATCGGATAGGTTTGTCAAAAATTCATCATTTTTAGTTCACTCGTAGGTAGTTTATAATTTATACATCTCTTAGCCCTACCTAACTAAACTAATTATAATTTGTAAAAAATTCTTTTATATACTTACATTTTAATGCATAGAATTTAACTTAAATTTTTCAACATTTTTTATTTATTATTGCTTTAGTATATACATAAAAAAAATGTATACCGTAAGAACTTTTAAATACATAAGTAATACAATACTATGTTTATCTATTAAAGTTGTTCAAATGTGAAGAGTGTCTTATATTGGGTCACTTAGTATCTTTTAGTAGGACATTTATCTTCTTGTTATACATTATATTATTATGTTAAACTGCATCTACCATATTTATATAACACATCAAATGAATCACTGCCAAAAAAAGCTTGACTGTAAATCAATCTATTTGTTAGAATCATTATCAAGATCAATCATTAACTTCAAAAAGTTCTGGATCTATTCGCAGAGGAAAAAGATGTGCTCATAAGCCTTGTAATCGAAAAAGGTTTTCCAATAGATACTGGACAATGAGGCATATGTTATTTTCAAAATTTGAACATGGTATTCTACTGGACGATGGTATCTACACTATCAAATTTTTTTTGTACCTTATTATATTTTATAAAATTGTTTTTTTACAGAAAGCTTTTATTCTGTGTGTCCAGAAATATTAAGTTACCATATAGCGAAACGTTGTAAGAATGACATTGCCTTGGACCCTTTTTGTGGGGCTGGTGGGAATATAATTCAATTAGCATTTACATCCAATTTAGGTAGTTGCATATTAATTTATTTGAAAAGCAAATTATAATGTAGATTTTGATAGAAATTATTTGTTTTTAGTTATAGCAGTTGATATAGATCCGTTTAAAATAAAACTAGCACGGAACAATGCCGAGATATATGGTGTAGCTGATAAAATTGAATTTATTGTTGGTAATTTCTTTGAAATTTGTTCAATGTTAAAAGCTGATGTTATATGCATGTCGCCCCCATGGGGCGGTCCAGAATATGTGATCAATGATAGCTTTAGTATTGCATCCATGTGCAAGAATTATAAATTTGGTGGTTTTACTATTTTTGATATGGTTAAAAATATTGCTCCTAATATTGCATTTCATATGCCCAAAACCACAAATGTATTTGAAGTAGGTTATAGTTGACAGGTTTAAGTTTTTCAATTATCATATTTTTTTGTTATTATTTTTCAGTGTTTATGGTTAGCAAGATATTTTGGAAAAGTAGAAATTCAACAGAATATTATAAATCAAAAGCTGAATTCAATTACAGCATTTTATGGAGATTTTATTGATATAACTAGCAACGACTATTAGAAATATATATATAGAACTAATTTTAATAAAATCTAGTCTTATAACACCATATCAAGTGTTTGTTTATTGATATGACGACTTAATATGTTTTATTTAGATAATTTATTTTTTGAACATATTATTTGTTATAACTGTCCTACTTTCTCTATTTTAATTTATTATTGTATTATTGTAAGGTAAGGTAGCATTGAAAACTTGCAATAAAACAACTACTTTAAATTGAATAGTCAACGTAACAAATAATAATATAATACATAAATTATTGTTCCACTTTATTTCCATTTGAATTTCTGGTAATATATTTATGTTAGGTTTATATTCAATACAATTTTAGCAACCTATAATTCAATTAATAAGTTGTTTTTGTACTATTAATTAATTTACTAAACGTTTTAATCATATATCTTTTTTCAGTAGGTGGTGATTTAACTGGAATTCATAAGTTAGTCAATGATAGTTCCCAAGTTAATATAATACTAAAGCAAAATAAATTGTGTTATACTGGCAAATAGTGGCAATAATACATTTCTGAAAACTTCCAAGTTATATTGTATATATTAATACTATATAATATAATATATAGTATGTACCAGGTGTTAACCCAGGGTAATTATTATAGGGTAAGGGGTTTATACTTTATGAATGTAATTTTTAAAATAAGATAGAACTAATTTATTGTGATAAATATTTCTTTACATTGTAAATTTGTAAAGAAATAAACGTTCAACCAGAAATTAAAACAACTTGGTTTGGCTAGTTAGGCTATGTAGGTAGCTTAATTGAAAGAAACCCTTTTTATTTAAATATTACAAAATTGAAAAAAGTAAATAATGGGGAAAGTAAGTAACTGCACAGTTGCATAAGAAGTGTCGAGTGTATCTCGTCATTGAGTAAGTTACTGTGATATTGTAATGTACATATTATATTGTGTCTAACTTAAAATCATTATTCATTTCCAGGGTAGAAAACTTGTGCTCTAAAAAATCACAAAATATGCTCTAAAATGTACAAAATATGCATTATAAAATAAGATTTTTTGTATGAATATATTTTATTTAAATGTTGATGTCTGCAGACGACCTCCCCGGGCCCGATATCTTATGCAGTGAACAATATCTGTACATAAATGAAATAAATCTAATCGGAAAGCCTTGAGAAGTGTCTCTAAGAAAAACATGCGTGTGGAAACAGCCAACAACCATATTAATATGATCAACATTTTAAATAATTTTAAATTCATCATTATTTTAGTTGTATATTAAATATTTAAATAAAATAAAAAACGTTGACGGAAAAAATATTGAAAATATTCATCATAACGTATTAAATCGAAGAAGTATGCTAGTATGCACTAAAACCAGCTTTGTTTCAGCAGTATTTGTTTCTTACTCTGCTGAAGTGCTGACTGCTATTTTTGTGATCGTGCAAAACAAATATGCAAATGCTACAAGTCCTCTGCCCTATTCATTACCTGCACACGAAAAACGTTTATGAAGACTGTCAGATTACATGAGCTTATTATAATACAAAGTATATTATTTAATAATATTTATGTTTATACTGTTGTTTATTTTACCACAGTAAACTCGATTGTCCGAAAAATACAAATCAAAACAAAAATGCTATTATTTATTCTTAAAAAATTGTATTATGCAATATTTAATAGTATTTAAAGAAAATTATATAAGTACTCATATTTTTATTTAAACATTTATGTCTTACATAAAATGTACATTTATTTTTCTCAAATACTGAAATACATATTATATTGTACATAGGTGTTAAAGTGTGGGGGGGGGCAAGAGGGCTTAGTCCCCCTATCTTCGGCGCCAGTTAAAAATCCGTCCACTTTAGCAAATTAGGATTTTAGACATTATACTTAAAATTTTATATGGAACGCTTGAAAATATATGGAGACATTAGTCCCCTCTAGAATTTTTTTCCACTTTAAACCCTGATTGTACGTACCTAAACATTATTTTAAACACAAGGTCAACACATAGAAGCCAGATGACCCCGGATAATCAAGTCGGTGACCTAGCCAGGATTAGGTAATGGGGCTATAGCCCCTTACGGCCTTACCCCTCATTGACGGTACTTATGCTTATGTTAGCATATATAATATTATAAATTATAATACTTTACAAAAAACCCTATAGTCTCACATACAAAATTCTTGGCTAGGCCACTGCCCACTATAAAGGTATGAATGTATTAGTAAATACCTACTGTAAAGGTTGTAGATTGAATTAATTTTTCCTTAAAACAAAATAGGTATTGAAAAAGTCATTGACATTGTGATGTATATCTATATACCTAAATATAAAGGTAAGTGTTCTCCTGTCATAATCAATGCAGAGCCAACCTATTAGAGTTAACGACTTAACATTTTGAGGATAGATTATTATCCTAAGTTCACAGTGCACTAAGAAAAGTTTTAAAAATTTTGATTTAAAGGGGTTAAAATCGGCAAAAATAAATTTTGTACGTGTAAATTGTACATCTATAATCTATATATAGGTACATATTTAACTGCACGGCGGCCTTCGAACTTTCTTAGTTACATGCAACCAGACATTTTTGTCCGTCTAATATTATGCATTTGATCAGCGTGTAGATATGAATTGTTGCTATGAGTAAAATTATACAATCTATCTATGTATATAAAAATAAATATCTATTTCCTTTGATCAACGCATCACACTTATCGCTAATAGTTTAAAACAGATCCATTCTATGACATAAAATAGTTAATTTATCATTTATTAGTACACATTTCTCAGTCGATTCAATCTGAAAATTAATGAAAAGTGGCACAGTGAGTTTTTCATAAGTGTTAGTTCAAAGTAGGGTGCCCCATTATCAAGGCACCCTAGTTAAAAGCAACCACGCCTTAATATTTTAAACAAACTTAAGTCGCAGAACTAGCAATGCTACAGGCTACAAGTCAAAGATATACAAGAGCAAGTCAAACACATAGTTTGACGGACAAAAAGTTCAGGTTGCAGGTAGCTGGAAACCCTCGGGCCGCCGTGCCGTGCAATATGTGTACATATATAGGTATACAATTTGTACGTCAAATTAATATTACATTTTCAGCTCAACTTTTAATTTTTTAATAAAAATTAGAATTTTCTTACATTTTTGGTTGCTATTGGTTAATCGAGCAGATCAGGTTTAAGCATACACTAAATCGAATTTTCGCACATTGCCTACCAATAGGTAGTACCAATGTGGCTGACCTACACTTTTAGCCGCTCATCGGCGTGTACACAATCAAAATAAAAATGTGGGTATGTGTATGTCGCTCTGATGTACATTAAATGTCAGATGTCTAGGAGGTCGCTGTAATAGATGGTATTAAACTTGAATTCAATGATATCAAATCATTGTATACGAAAACCGATTCTGAGCAGAAACGGTATGTCAGTTTAGGATATTTTATATTGTTTTTACTTATTATTAATATGATAGCCGGTAAGTTTAATTAATATTATTCTTAAATTATCAGCAATGTTGGAAAAATATTAAACATACCTATGTAAAATTGGGCTGCTTTGGAACCGAATTACAACAAATGATAAATATTATTCTTTGTGTTAATATGCAGCTTTGTCTACATTTGAACTCAAAAAGTGAGTAAAAAATAACTGTGTTCACATAGATTTTAGATTTCTTCGTTGCGGAAAAAACTGCTTAAGTGGAACCTTGTTTTAAATTTTCAAACCTTAGGTACCTAAGTTGTATGGAATCTTGTATTACATTTTTAAATCTTAGAATAGAAAATTTTTTATGAATATCTTACTAAATATAATTTGCTAATCTGCGTGATTTTTACGAATTTTGTCAAAATTCTAAGTTTAAAAGCTCATAACAAATTATTGTGGATTTACTCTCAACTTTTTTTTAAATTTCCATTTACATAAACTTACAAGGAACCATGTATTACATTTACAAGTGTTTTAAGCGAGCAACATTTTTTTTATTGAATAGTTTAAAAAAAAAAACAAATAATCGAAAATGTCATTTACCTATAAATAGTTCAACACAAATTAAAATATTTTGAAAATTGTATGGTGTATAGAAAATGATTACACAAATATTCAGTAAAAAAATCATGTAACAACAGTCATTTTTGTTAAAATTACACTAAAAACCAAAATCGATTTTTTTGAAAAATAGTTTTGCGTAAAATTTCCCGTTTTTCCTTAATTTTTTGTTTGTTTTTCCTGTTGCTTTTGAAAACTACTGGGAATTTTAAATTTTGATCTCCCGAATGCATCAACTAGATTCACTTTCTTACCAGAAAAGTAAATAATAAAAAAAACTCATAAATATCGACATTTCATTATGCCTATAAATAGCTCAAAAAAAGAGTCACAATATTTTGAAAATTGTATGGTGCATAGAAATTGCTAATATAGAATCTGAGGAAAATGTCATGTCTCTACAATTATTTTTTTTAGTTGCCAAAAAAACAAAATAGATTTTGTCAAAAATTGGTTTTTACGTAAAATTTCTACTTTGCCTTAATTTTTTTTGTTTTTGTTCTAACTGACTTCAAAACTACAACTGATTTTCTATTTTGACCTTTCAAATGTACTAACTAGAATTCACTTTCCCTCCACTTACCAGAAAAGATACTGAAAATAAAATCGAGGTATTATTTAGATTACTTATTGACTATCGTGTACACATTGAAATAACATTTTTAAAATAAAAACACATCATTCATCATTGATTTAACATAAAATTAATTACCTATCAATTTCAAAATTAAAAATTACAATTTATATACATGAGTGATTTAAATTTAAATTTCAAAACTGATATTTTCTAAAAGTAGAAGATTTCGTTCAAAATAATTTTCGTAATACTAGGTAAAATTAAATTATTTGATAAGTGGAAAATATAAAAATAGAATGATGACAAATAAATAATAATTAACTCGTACATTTTCTCTCAATTGTTAAAAAAATGCCCCATAACTTAAAAAAATGACTTTAAAAGTCACAAAAATTAGGTAGGTACCTAAAAACGAAAATATGCCAACAAATTCGTTGTATAGATTCATTCGTATGTTATTGAAACACATTTTAAGCGTGGAAAGCACCGTCCATCATGTTCAAAAAAAGATGCAAAAGTCATCAACATCCGGGCTTTTTATACTTATTAATTAGGTATTATTCAGTTTCTGTATTATACTGTAATAGACGTCATACTAATATGCATTACTAATATTGGCCTATTGCTTTCTAGTTTGTTATTTTGCAAATTGCAATTCTTGCTGCGAGAAAAAATTACCTACTAAATACCAATAGGTAACAAATAAACTGACTGTACCTATCTTATTTCTGTAAGTTTGCAACCGGCTATAGTCTTTGGGTTCGGTAGCGCACGCAGAGGCCCCTTTAACTAGTACGCATCCCTGCTTAATTAGAGGGCTATGTAACATCTCAGAGAGAGATTATATTTTGCACACAGGGACGCGGCCCATTTCCCTTTGGCCCAATCTATCCCCGTTGACGATGATGACTATAGGGGCGGAATTTATAGGAAAATCCATATTTTTACTAAAACATGATAAATTAATTGTTGTAAATGATAAATTCGTTTCACGTGATTTGTAATAAAATAAGCCATATTTTATTTTCAATGTTTTTACATATTTTGTCATATTTTTACATTATTTGTAAAATGTCTGGTTTCTTAAATGTTGACAAAAATTCCAATATGTAAAATAATTTGTCAATTTACATCAACAAAATTGGTGGTATAGTAGTATTATACATTAATACTTCAATAATAGTACTAGTAAAAATTGTAAGTATATAGGTATAGAATAGAATTTTAATCTAACACGTTATGGTACATATTTTTTTATTTTTTACTACATATACTTTGTCCATTTTAATAACATATATATATATATATGTACACATTTTTGGGTTTTTATTACTTATAAATAACAGCCACAAAGATGACAGTGATAGTGATTGTAAAATTGTATTTATGTAAAATAATAACCACGAATATCGACATCAGTGAAATACGCGTATTGCGTATAATATATTATATTATAAATCTTCACGTTGGGCTTGTAGAACTACTCGTATGTTTATGTATCATATACATTTTTTTACAACGATTAAAAATGAAAAATGTAAGAAAATGGTATAAAATAATTTAAAAACATGATAGAAACTATTTTAGTTCTGTTTTTTTTTATTTTTTTAAGTATGGTCAACCAACTCTAATATTTAAGTCAACAACAGACAATCGGAACTACTATATTATATATGCCAACATTTTGTTAATAATATATTACTGCGCTAATAAAACGGAGACAAAACATGCGATTACGACGTCTTAATGTGACTTGTACAGTTGTACACACGAATTGAAATATTTTTAATTTAATAATATTTACTATAATTATATTTAGTATATTTTAATTCGTGGTTGTACTGCGTAAAGTGCCATGGAAATAGAAATGACATAATAATTTTATATTACATACTTTTGTTCTGTGAATATTATATTATGTCGATGGTGGTACAGTCAATAGAAATAGCACAGGAGACTGGCTTAGTGGAGTACTGAAATAGATAGAA